TTGAACAGTTGTCCGAGGTGTTGCTATTTCGATGATGACGAGAATGAGGCTCTAGCACAGGAATATCAACTGAAGAATCAGATTCATTTTGGGGAGTTGGGTGAGAGTCAAATCTTCCAGACAAAAAAAGAATAACTAGAAGAAAAAATTATTTTTTTTACCTTAGGTAAAATCCTGCTTGAATAGTATTAGTTTTAGGCTTCTCAGAAGTCTAAAATTTATTTCCCAGACTGAAATCTGTGTGCTGCATTACCTTCTCCACCATAAAATTTTTTGAATATCTTTGCAATTTTGTGAATGACCTTGCAATATTTTTCATTCTATTTTCATGATGTGTTACTGATCACTGTACTATTTACTATTTGGTCTGAATCAAAATTACAATTCTTAACCAGTTTCTGTTTTTGGATATTAATTTTTCAGCTTTGTTTCAATGACATTGTTTATAATTTCCCATGAATAAACTGTGATTCATTTACCTTCAGTTACTTTGAGCAGCATTTCCCCAACCGACATTTTAATAGAAGTTCGTGCTATACCGAGGTAGCTTATTTTTCCATCAATATGTGACTTCTCTTGACCTGAGTAAAAACCAGAGTTTAAATTATGCCTTCCCTGCTCAGTTGTTGGCAACTGCATTTGTATCCTATGAATAATTGTGTTCCGCCATCTAATGCATTGCTGTATGGGCAGATAATAGAATAACAAAGATGAGAAGTATAAGAAGTAGACTTTATTGTCTTTTCTTTCCCATCCATGGGCATCTGTGAAATAAAGAAAAATATAGAATCTTGACAATTGAGTATTATAATATTTGTGCTGATTGTGTTGTGTGGAGACCCATTTTCATTCATGCTGCAAGGTAGCAGGAGTTTTCTGCTAAGGGGTAGTTACAAACCCCCAGTTCCTGAAGTGCAGGTTGTTTGAATAAACAGGTTCTATTTGATTTGTTATCTAGTGGCGAATGACCATTACTGTCTAATCTATGTTCAGTATGACATGGTTACTTGAATATGGATGAAGTGAACTCCTTATGGTAATCACATTCCAAATTAATGTTTGACTTTTCTAGACTATGATGAAGCAGGCAAATTATTTAAAGTGTGATTTACTGAAACTGAAAAATTGACTCAGTGACTTGGTTTTACCTCAGTCTTGGTTCTCTATGTATACCTGCTGTTCCCTCCAGTTGTAATTGTTTCTCAATTGAATTAAGAAATAAAAATACAAAATATTAATCTATGTGGCAAGTTGAGAGGGCTGTATGTGAGTAGGAGACCATCAATCAAACCATTGTTTTAAAACCCTGACTCGGCAAACTACACTACACTTAGTTTCCACCCACATTATCAAGCAGGCTTACTGTAACAACTGTTATGGTGTTCAGTAGCTATAGTGTGTATGCAAATTATTTATGAATATCATTTTTGGCTTTTGATGAAACATTTTCTTTGATTTCTTATTAACCCTTTAGCGGGCAAGCATTGAAATATCCAGAAATTAGAATTTCAGAAACCATTTCAAGAAAATAAGTATTATACAATATATTTATTTCTATGAATTTTTGCAAATTTTGCCTATTGAAGGTTTAAATCACACTTGAAGAATTCAATAAATGCAATCAGTACACAAAATTTTTCTTTATAATCAAAATTCAGTTTATGCAAATGAAAAATTAGAAATATAAAAATTTAATTTAATTAAATTTAATCAAGTTGCCAAAATAAATAAATATATATATTGATACTTCCACCTTATGAAGAAAATGCGGAAAGAGCGTCAATTCCATTGTCAGAGTCAAAACCTTCAACAGGAAGCCATGATGAGGCTTTTTGTGACGCAATTTCAAGTGATCATATATGGTAACTTACCCGTGAAAGGGTTAAGCTATCACGCTCAATCTTCTAACCTTGTAATATTTTAATTTCTTTCCAAAATCTCATAAATTCTTATGAATATTAATATATGAGAACGAATATAAATTCTTCCTGGATCAAATCATCATCTAACACAAACGAAGTTTCTTCGCAATGTATCCAAGTATGGACATGTTTCATTGCTATTAAACTCATTGATATGTTATAGTCAGTTACTTGCATACATCTATTAAAAAATATAACTCAGTACTCGCTGAATTGAGTGACCAAGAGCGCATTTTCTCAAAATCAACATAAACGTGAAGTCACGACAGACATACAGACATGACAAGCACAATAGCGCATTTTTTCCATGAATGAGAAAATGCGCTGAAAACTATCTTAAGTGTTGCACAAATGGTAGTTGATCTTTTTTTCAATGACTAATGTGCTGATGATGGTTGAATACAGATGAGCGTTTCAACACCCTAGATATAGCACCTTGATTTATCTTTCAAGTATGGTTATGATGACTATTAGTCAGACCTAATTGTGAAATTTATCATGCAGGTCCAAACAATGTAATTGAAGAGACAATTTTCAAATGTTTTGAAAAAGGTTGAAAATTAGATGGAGAATTCAATGACAATACTTCAGAGTTCCATAAAATGAACAAGATAACCTTAGAGCTGAAATCCCTCAAAAGATGCTTGAAAAACATAATATTATTGAAGTAGTAGTAGTTAGGAAACTTGGTTTAAGAATAAGACTTGACAAGAAATTCGATTAATTGTATGAAACGAATGAGACTAGGCTTTGAAAGATGAGTTAAAATAGGCAGGAGTCACTCTCTACTCAGACACACTAGTACTAAAACAAGTCTTGTTGATCTAAACTTGTAATTCATGGAAACTATTCACCATTTGATAATCTTGACCATCAAGAGCTCATATCTATTCTAATGTCTTAAGTTCAGGCAACTTACTCCAACAAGAGTATTATTGAAAATCACAAATATTGATATTCATATAGCACTGTGCATGTTGCTATGGGTACAAAAATATTGATAACAATGTTCTGGATCCAAAATGACCCCTGAAAATCATCCCTTTAATATCCTTATGCTGTGATTTCCTCCAAGCTGGCAAATCTATTTCAAGACGTTTTCAATTTCTACTATACAAGCCATTCTTGCTTGTAGCCAAGTTGTGAGCATCAAAGATTGCTGATGCACCGAAAAAACAATTTTGTGCTTGGGACAGGTTAATTTTATAGCAAATCCTGAAGTTGAGGCCTATTTTGTGCCTCTTAAACTCTGTACACTTTTCTGTATCCCTCCAGTCTATTGCTGCTAACATTAAAAATTAAAAACTACAACTTCAGTGATTCATAACTACAGTATCATCACATATGGTAATGGCATCCATTACCAAAGAATGCAGTGTTGTGCTGCACTAACTCTCCGATGCTGCAGTCAGGAGTGGCAGATGCCCAGAGCAGAGCCTCATTCAAGCATCTCCTGGTGAGAGAAGCCAAACAGGCTCTCCGCAGGGAGATCGCCTCCCGCGCGCATTGCGGCGACTGACGCTATAAACGCCGTCCTGGCAGCTCCTCTACTGCCGATTGCATCGGTTGAGTCCTCACTTCCGCGCCCCTGCCGTTCGGCGCTATCCCAGCTCCGCTCGGGATACTGCAGCTCCCTGGCGTCCTACTCCACCAGGATCAGACGCTCCCCTAGCTCCGCCTGCCCGGAGTCTAGAGATCCCCTCCAATAGGTCCAGTACCTCTTTGCTTGCCCCGCCATGTCCCTCAGCGTCTCCTCACTGTGGGACAGCCCCGTGAAGGCAGTGGTACCGTCAAACGGGGTAAAAAGGGTCGGGCAGGGTAAATCGGGACGCATGTCCCACATTTTATAGAAATGTTGTAGCAGCTAAACTAATCAAAATATTGCAAAACTAAAAATAGTGGCATAAACTTCAACATATTACTATCTATTATGCATGAAGCTAGTCAAGAAATCAAACATTTACTATCTCTAAAAAATTACTGAAAAAAATGGGAAAAGTGCAATCTTGGAAAAGTACCTCTGCTAAGGTCTGGAAAAAAAATATTCACTGTATTAAAAAATTTTACCTACACAAAAGTTGCACCCAGGTGTCGCTTGAAAACGTAACTGACGGAATTTGCCTATCTCATTCCAAAAAAAAAAATTAGAGCCATTTCTGTACGGCAGGGTTACTTGGGACACCTCCCGGGGTAATTAGGGACACCATTAAAACCTTAAAAATGCATTTACAGTAGAACCTCAGTTAGCAAAGGTTCCAGTTAACAAAAAAATTGATTAACAACAAAGAATTTTGATTACATTTACCTTGCTCAGCAAAAAAATGAATTCACTTATCGAAAAATTAGTGCATCATCGGTCATCACAAAATTGTGCATAGAATGATATATATAGAATTGTGCACCAGGCATCATAGAATGAAAAGTAATTGACCTAAACTATGACTTATTTCTCCAAAACAAATGATGGTTGTCACTAAAACATTATTTTCTGTTTCAGGTATGTTTTTCACGATCTTTTTTGTTATAGTGAAATCACTTGACTCAATTAAAATTGTGCAAAATTACAAAACAACCTGTAAGCTTACAGATACAGAAGAAATGCTGCATGGCTGCTGATATGAAGTTTGCAGTGGACAAGGTCGTTGTCAATGCTCAATGGCATGTCCATGGGTACAGTAATATCACATTAATAATACGGTAATTAATGAATGTGGTAATATAATATCAATAAACGAAAAACAAGTAAAAATCACAGAAAATGTCATTTATTTTACATCTACATCATCTACAATGAAAGAGGAGGACTTCAAAGTACTCTTAGTAACGGATGAGTACACTCTGCATGCTTCAAACATTTTAAAATTAACTTTTATTGCAAGTGTCCCTGATTACTCCGTTCCCAGGGGAAAATCGGGATGGTTTTATTTTGCGTCTGGCACCTTACAAATAGCATATGGAATTTTTTGAAGATGCTATTGGATAGCCCTCGCAAAGAGCTATAAAATGAGCCTAAACTTGTTTCTGAAATGTTTCATGGTAAGGAGTTATTAACAAAAAACGCTCAAAACCGTCCCTTTTTACCCTGTTAGACGGTATTCCCGGCCACCCTTCCTGCCTTTGCCCACCTCCCTCCTCTTCCAGTGCCGGCCCCCACCCACCTCCTGAGCCTCCCTTCGGGCGAGCGTGACGGACGCAATAAACAACAACAACAAGTCAAACAATAACTAATTGATACAAATCTAATTGAGTTGAAAAGCACTAGTAATCACTATGATTTGGTATATCCTTCATTGTTTTTATACTAAACTGCAGTAACAGCTGTTTTGACTCAGTCCTGACACAGACTTGGCATGTTCAAGAATGTGTACAAGCATAAATCAGTATGATTTGATGATGTTTGAACACACTAATGTGTTATGATTAAGTGAATATATCTCTTTTGTTTATGACCAATAAGTGTTGTTGAGGCTTAGTTGATTAGGTTCCAATAATTGATGTGAAGGATAAAATTAAATAGTGCTCAGTTGTTTTAACACTTTTGATATAACACCTCAAAGTAGCAATTTTTAAATTACTATGTGTATACAATTAGATTTTTAGCAATGTTCTAACCAAATAAATGGCTTTGATGTCTATGCTGTGAAATTTTATATCTATTTCAAGTTGGTTTTTATTCATATTATACATGACATGCTCAAATTGTTTGCTGTGGTTTTAGGGGAAAAGTGAATTTTGCTGCAAATGTTGTAATTAAGACATTCTTATGAGCGTCTATTGCGCTTTGTACTATTTGATGTATTCCTTCCAGTGTTATTACCATTACTGCCAACTTTGAAAGATTAAATGCTTAAACCTCAGTGATTGATAATTTACATCACATCTGTGGATGGCATTCATAGACAAAGAATGCAGTGTAGTGCTGCACCAAGTCTATGATGCTTTAGTCTGTAGTGGCAAATGCCCTGAGCAGAGAATCAGTCAAGCATCTTCTGGTGGTAGCAAAGTTAAGTCTGAAGGTAAGCCAGATGCCATGTGCCTTATTATCAATTGTTAATATTCAGAGGAGGAACTGAGGTTATGTCAATTTATCTGATTTTATTCTCATCTGTATATAAATCTTTGAAGTTTCAATTCAAGAATTGATGATATTGTGTGAGAACATGCCACCTCATGAGTCTATCTCAGCTGAGTGAAAATAACTTTTTGTTTAAAGCTCAAGTGACTCATCAATTGGATGAACATTGTATGTAAAGTGAAATAGCTTGCTCTATAGCCCTGCAGTACAAGTACATTAATATACATATTTTCCAGCCTCAGAGAAAATTGGCCCTCCACCAGTCCTCAAAGTTTCTGCTATCTCCATCAAGGAGGAACCTGATTATGGAATTGAAGATGTAGTCATTAAAGAGGAACCATTCTTATATGGGAATGAGGTAGGTGCTTGATATGCCAGTAAATATTTACCAAAGCATTTGAAATGCAAACATGAATTATCATTTAAAAAATTGTTATTCAAATGCAGGCCCTGCCAGGGGCTTCTTCAAGTGCATAAATGAATGATAGTCACTCAGTGCCTGATTATGATTGTGTGGAGGTTGATCAAAATGTTCTCAGCCCAAGAAAAAGTCAAGATCTTGATTTTGATTTGCTGTGTGTGGATAGGCATTATCGTGGTTCAAAACAACGCCTGCACGCAGCATGGCTGGCATTTTGTTTTGAATTGTGCAGCGCAGTTAAAAAGTCTTGTAACATCTTGAAGGAGGCTGTACCTTAAGTTTATATATACATTTTGATATGAATACCAGCAAGTATGATTTTTGACATTAAGCAGGATTGACATGAAAGATATTTTAAAGCTAGTAATTGTGCAAACATATTCATGTGCTGTTCAGAAATTATAAACTTGCAGAGAATTCTATGAGGAATTATGTAGTATATCTTTTTTGGGGCCAATGGAAGATAGATTGCTTGCGTTTGTTGTGAGTCAATGATGGCTTGGACGGATATTTGGCTATTACTGGCCGGTTACTGGCTATTTTAAGGGTAGGGCTGGTGATAATTGGTAGTAATGGCTAAATGATGTTGATGTATTTTGGTATGCCAAGTGTCTTACATGTTGCAAGCTTGGTGGTTTGGTCTTGCGTTTTGGTGGCAGGGGTGTTGTGGATGGAGACATTGCTGTTGGAGATTAGTGTGTTGTTGGATGGAACGAATTTCACTTTCAAAGTATGGATAATTTTTGGCTGTTGCTCAGAGCAGTGGCTTATTGTATGCAAGGCCCCTTTTTAAACTATTTGGGGGTGAATGAGTTTTGAAGAAGTGATAGGGGTACTGATTGGGCTGTCATATTCAATTACTGGACGACATGTTTTTATTTTTTGTTTGTAGTAAAGTATCCTCAGCTTTTACAAATGTTCATGAGAGGGTTTTTAGTATGTTTTTGCGTTTTCACGCTTATGCTGCTGTGGTTATGTGGCTAGAGGTGGAAATGAGCATCAAGGATTTTTGGGTGGTGTTCAAGCAGAAGAAGTTGGTTAATGACTTTGACTTGAGGGTGGCAGCAGTTCTGGGCCATGTGTGGTGTTATGATGGTAACTGTTGATTTATTGGTTGAAATTTCCACGTTTCAGTAAAAATTGGGCTATTGAGTTGCTGCCAAAGTGTCACAAAACATTGACAAAATAATACTACAATTGGAGACGAGGTAAATGCAATGCTTATTTTTTCAAACCAATTATTTCTGCTGAACAATCCTTGCATGAACCCGAACATTTTGGGTAAAAACTCCCAAATTATTAAAATATTTGTCACAATTTTTGTTTTCTGTTAGAGGATTTCAAGGGATAGGGGATAACCAGGGGATTTTAATGAGAATAAAATTTGGAAGTCAACAGTTCACTGCAGATATTAAATTTGATATTATTTCATTCAGTATTTTTATCATTAGTTTGGCGAAGGTGGAGCACCTGCAGCAGGAGATGCTGCTGCTGTTGCTGACACATCTGGAGCTTCCACCTCTAAGCAACACACCAGACTTGGGTGTTCCCAGGGTGGATTGGTGGCTGTAGGTGCAGGCCAACTGCAGCAGCTCATTGATCTAGAACATCTTGCTTCAGGACCCCACCGCTGCTCTAAATACACCTCTAGTTCAAGAATTGGACTGCAGAAGCACATTAATGCCATGCATTCAACAGAAACAACATTTCAGTTCCCTAACTGTGGACAATCACAAACTAAAAAATGTATGCCACCGCACATTAACTATGAGCCTTTGTGCAGAAGTAAACACCAATGCCAAATCTGCTTGAATTTGTTTGTCACTGGTTCTGATCTTGAACAACATGTTCTCTTGAAGCATCCTCAGATAAATGCACAGGAATTCTTTCAAAGAAAATATGCTGAAGGTTGCAAAGAAATCTTGCACAAGCATTGCCCTTCCAAACGTTTATCAATGAAGAAGTTTTTCTGCTCTGAGTGCAAATATGCTTGCACCACAAAATGGATGTTGAAATGCCATTTCCATTTCAAGCACTCAACAGTAAAACTTTTTCAGTGCTCCCAGTGTGATTATGCTGGTACCACAGAGGAGGAGTTGAAAAGTCATTTCCTCTTCAGGCATACAAACAAAAAGTCTTTCCAATGCTCTGAGTGTGATTATGCTTGCACCAGAAAAAGGAACTTGGAAATACATTTCCTTAACAAACACTCAACAGAAAAACCTGTTCAGTGTTCTGAGTGTGATTATGCCTGTGCTACACAAGGAGCTTTGAAATCACATTTTCTATACAAACACTCAACAGATAAACCTGTTCAGTGTTCTGAGTGTGATTATGCTTGCATCACAAAATCAAACTTGAAAATACATTTTCTTCGTAAGCATTCAGCAGAGAAATCTATTCAGTGTTCTGAGTGTGATTTTGCTTGTACTACAAAAGCAGCTTTGAAAATACATTTTCTTCACAAACACTCAACAGAAAAACCTGTTCAGTGTTCTGAGTGTGATTATGCTTGCATCACAAAACAGAACTTGAAAATACATTTTCTTCGCAAGCATTCAACAGAAAAAGCTATTCAGTGTTCTGAGTGTGATTATGCTTGCGTCACAAAAGGAGACTTGAAAATACATTTTCTTCGTAAGCACTCAACAGAAAAGCCTGTTCAGTGTTCTGAGGGTGATTATGCTTGTACTACAAAAGGAGCATTGAAAATGCATTTTCTTCATAAACACTCATCAGAAAAATCTGTTCAGTGTTCTAAGTGTGATTATGCTTGCATTACAAAAAGAGCTTTGAAAACACATTTTCTTCACAAACAACTTTGAGAACACACTTGCTTCTTAAACACTCAACAGAAAAACCTGTTCAGTGTTCTGAGTGTGATTATGCTTGTACTACAAAAGGAGCTTTGAAATCACATTTTATTTACAAACACTTAACAGGAAAACCTGTTCAGTGTCCAGAGTGTGATTATGCTTGCATCACAAAATGGAACCTGAAAATACATTTTCATTGTAAGCATTCAACTGAAAAACCTTTTCAGTGTTCTGAGTGTGATTTTGCTTGCGCCACAAAATTTCACTTGAAAACACATCTTCGCAAACATTCAACAGAAAAAGCTATTCAGTGTTCTGAGTGTGATTATATTTGCATTACAAAAAAAGATTTGAACAGACATTTTCTTGACATACATTCAAAAGAAAAACTTATTCAGTCATCTGAGTGTGATTATGCTTGCATCACAAATTGAGCTTGAAAAGACTTATCTACAGACGTACAACTGAAAAATTTTTTCAATGTTTTGAAAATGATCAGGCTATCATAACAAAAAGGGACTTGAAAAGTCATTTCCTTTGCCAATATGCAACAGATAAGCCTCCTTAGTGCCTGAGTATGATAATGTTTGTAACATAAAAGGGAACTTAAGAAATATTTTTTTGGAGTCATTCAATAGTGAAAGTTCCTTTGAAGCTCTGTGATGATACTTGGGTCCAAAAAATTTATTTGAACAGCGTCTACACTCAATGCTCCATCAAGCAAATGATTCATTGACACAAGTATGAAGATGCATGAAGACAAAGGGATCAAGTGCAGAGTATTTGATCTTTAGTAACAACTGGTCCAAGCTATGTAGTGTAGGTACCTAATCTAAGGCACCCACTGCCACCAGGAAAGAGGAGCTTAGATGTTCTTTGTCCTTCGAAGTTGCAGTTACTTGTGATGGCGTGGACATGAAATAGAACGATGGAGCTTCTTGCTTGTTGGAGCTTGAATGCAGCTTCATTAGAATATCAGCAACCAGTTTTTTCTTAGCTGCACATATGAGCCCACTATGAGTTGCCAGTTTTGTGCACGTGACAGTCATACTTCTGGTGGTAAGTGTGTTGCATTTCCCCAGGAAATGCAATCTCTCTCACAAATCCAATCTCTTAGCTGAAAAAATTACATTCTTAGCAATTGAATGAGAAATCCTCTTGCAATAAATAATTTTCAGATTTTTATTTCGATCAACAGTCAACAATAATGAATTACAAAATTATCCCACTAGGTAAAATATCTAGAATGCTTTGCTAATTGTCAAACTAGCATACGTTTGAGGATTAGCAAAAGAACTATAATCTTATGAAGCAGCATTTGGTATTGAGTTCCCAGCTAAATTTCAATATGCATATATGAGGAATTCAGAGTTTGTTATAGGACGAAATTTAAATAGAGTGACATGTAGGAAAAAGCAAAATGTTGTGAGTGATACCCAGTTATTACATGTAGTTTGTAGTTCTGAAGTGTTTGCTCTTAATTACCTGTTAGTTCAATTTAGTTCCGACTGAGGTTCCAGCTTCATAGTGTCTGTTGCCAGTAGCTCTAGTGTGCTCTCTTTGATAAAACTTAACATATGCAACTTGTCGTCTATAGGATACTGATTGTAAGTTCTCCAAAGATAACTTAAAAACTGTAATGTAAAATTTATTACATAATTACACATTATTATCTACAACTAAATCACCATGATAATTGTTGAAGCTTCTCCTGGCTAATTAGTGATTTAGGCATTGATGCCATGATCCTGTAATTGAATGTTACCCGATTTTGCCCTGCTTATTTTTCAGTCTGAAAGCTGTTAGCTGCATAACCTTCTCTGGCATAAAATTTTATGAATATCCTTCAAATTTTAGTGTTATTTTGCAAATGGTACTGCAATATTTTTTGTTCTATTTTTCATGATGTGGTGCTGATCACTATGCAATTTGCTATGATTTGTCCCAATCAAAAGTACCGGTCTTAGCCTGTTTCTGTTTTTGGATGTTGATTTTCAGCTTTGTGTTCCTGACATTGTTTATAATTTCCCATGAATCACCTGTCATTCCTTTGCCTGTTACTTCTGTTACTTTTCACAGCATGTCCTTGACCGACATATTTCAAATGAAGGGAATGCTGTA